AATAATGTAGTCGTGAAATAGCACTATTTCCCCGTTTTTCCGTTGTACACTCTAGGTATTATCCGCTCTTGATGTGATGTATATTTGATAGGTATTACTACTGTTATCATAGCAGTGTGTAGAAGGTATTATTATAGGTAAAATACAAAATGATATTACTGTTTTGTTCTTTATTGTCAAAAATGTCAAAATAATATTGGTCCAGTAAAATTTAGTCCGGTCCAGTAAATTTTGCTGGCTTGGTGGACCGAAGGTCCAGTGTTTAGAAATTTCATTCGTGAAGACTGAAAGTGGCTGAAAAAAACGGGTGGACTGACAGTCCATTTAACTTGTTAAATTTACTGGACTGAGAGAGATTTTGGTGGTCTCGGACCATGGTCCACCGCCTAACGTCGAAGACTGCCGATATATACAATCCTATTGCGTGGAACTTACTTTAATCTGAACTTGAATCATTTATCTACGTGCGTGCACGCTATGATGTCCTGGTAGCGGCCACAACATAAGAATATATCAAGTTGGTGACCACCCCTAGGGTCACTACAGTATTTTTGGGGGCTCGTCCGGGATCTCTCGCATTGCAGATTTGTGTCAGGTTATAAGAAATCATGTCAGGTTTTCTGGACTGTATATGCTCATTCTTTACTCCAAACACATGACAGGGGAAGATACCAAGGAAGAGAGTGAGTAGTGGAGATAGCAGGTCTCTTACGCAATCGTCCCTGGGAGATGCATTACAGGGAATAGGCGTAGCCGATGTTGAACAAGCTAGGGAAGCAAGGGTTGAGTTAAAGCAAGGAAGCTGGGAATTGTATAAGGGAGATATGAATGAAGACAGTCGTGCAGATGGAATAAGGGCGAGTGTCAAACCTAAGATGTTAAATCCAGCCTATTCTAAGACCCGTTCTAGCAATATTCAAGATAGCCCAAGGATACATGCTCCTATAAGAAATTCAATTTCTGATGATAGCGAGGATGAGGATGCGGATTTTCTTGGGAGGCCATTGTTGAGGAGAATTACGTCAGTTGGCAAACCAGTATCTCAACACTGGCAGGAAATGCCTAGAGCTTTTGTTGGTCGCAGGGATTCATTCCAGCATGAGATGGCAGGACACTCCCCAGTTAGACAGGTTAATATAGAGAAAACCTCGCCCCCAGTATGGATGGATAAGGAGGAAGCCAACACGCCGCCTTCTGCACACTGGAACTGGTCTTCCAGGGCACAACCCTCGAGGAACAACACGCTTGATAGGGATAGAGAAATTTTCGGACAGGAGGCATACTGCTCCATTGAGTCATTGGATCCACCTTCCACAAGGAGAAGCTTGAGCGAACAATCTGGACGAAGTAATCAGGATTTCCGCAGGAGGATGCCGGATCCCTTCATACGAGAAAGTATGGCAGGAGCACCTATAAATCTTGGATTTAGCAACAAGAACTTTAGGGAGAAAAAGCCACCAACTTTTTCAAGAGGAGATGGAACTTGCTTTCAGCAATTCATCATAAAGTTTGAGATGGTAGCTAAGTTCAATCATTGGCCATTGGAGGACTGGGGAGCCCAGGTTTGCCTTTGCTGGGAAGGAGATGCATGGGAGACGGTAATGGACCAGGCAGCCAAGAGGCAAAACGATTATGGATTCCTGGTAGAGGTGCTCCAACGACGCTTCAATCCAGCTCACCGAAGGCATGTACACAGGAGCGAATTGCGGCATATTACACGAAAACCAGGAGAAAGCCCTGAGGACTATGGAGCCACCATCAGACGTATGTTTGCGAGAGCTTATCCGGATATGCCTTCCTATGAGTGCACAGGGATAATGGTAGATAAATACCTGGAGGGTTTGGAGGATGGTGACGTACGAAGACATGTAGGCCTGAAGGAGCCCGCCACCTTGGACGAAGCAATTACTATGGTTGCCCAGTATGAGGCAATTACCAAAGAAGTTAACGCTGCAAGGAAACCACCTATGGGGAGAGTGCATCAGGTAGGAGGAAAGAATAACCAAGAGTCTAACACAGGAGCTATGGCACAACTACTGAAAGATGTAAGGGAGTTAGCTAAGGAGGTACAGGACTTGAAGGCGGCAGTGACAAGGCAAAGACCAACTGAGGCTGGCTATATGCAAGGCGGGACAACTCGCTACGGATATGGGAACTCAGGAAACTATGCGGGAGTTAGACCCTTTTCCAACTCATCCCAAGTGGAATGTTTCTACTGCCATCAGAAAGGGCATGTGCAGAGAAATTGTCCTAACAAAGGAACATCCGGAAACTATAAGGGAGAAGGGCCGAATCCCGCAACACCCAGCGAGAAGGTGTCAGGAACCTCCGTGCCATTAAAGGAATTCTGCACCCTACACCAAACCTGGTTGATACTAGTACAGTTATATGTGAATAAATAATAAAATATATTTATACCGATTTGTTTTTGTCTTCCTTGTTAATTCGCCATTGCAATAGGGCTTTAGCTAGCCAAGACACAGATGTCAGAATGCTGCCATGTTTTTCTGCCACCAACGGCGCCAGCAGTATGAATGAGCGGAGCTGTTCACACACATGTTGCCCGCGTCGGAGCCGTGCTGTCGGGCCTGATTGTGCGCCGAGATTCGGAGCAGCACTGTTCCCGTAGATTACGTATATTCGGAGACGGAGATTGTGCGCTGAGATTCGGAGCAGCTCTGTTCCCGTAGATTACGTATATTCAGAGACGGAGATTGTGCGCCGAGATTCGGAGCAGCTCTGTTCCCGTAGATTACGTATGTTCGGAGACGGAGATAATGCGCCGATTTTCGGAGCAGCTAGTATATACCCGTCATAATGCTACATCTGTGATGCACCGAAATTCGGAGCAATACTCATAGGTCACAGTATAAGATACGGGTTGATCACCTACCTCTTAATAGTTTGTTTATACGAGTACTGTTTATGTTTACGTACGATAGGTAAAGGACCTATATATATTTTGTTCATAATAAAAGTTTAGCTAGACTAAACAAGTTACCGCTTCAGTCATTAGTTCTGGAATCTTTCTGCCTGTCGTTGTCGGTGTCGGTGTTCGAGTAGAACTAGAAGTAGAAGAGCGTAACTGATTACGGACACATGCGCAATCGCCGTCCTCGTAAAGGAGCGAGAAATGATCCCACATTTAATCTAAAAATGCACCATTGTGCGCATACTCACTGGTGACCACCCCTAGGGTCCCTACATATGTACAGGTGTGCATGCCGCAATTTACCGTGCACCTGTTACTACAAACGTCAATCGAAATGTCAACCCAATCTGCAAAACCTAACTGACCTCAATTTTTCCTTCTCCGTTTTGGAAATTTTGTTTTGATATGTGAACCTGCCAAGGACACACGTATTTGCTGCTAAATAGTTACTATAAGCATAAACACGTCTATACTTTACATATCTGTATATTCCTTGTTGTTGATTGTAGGTGTGGTCATTGTAAGAAGTTAGCCCCAGAATATGAACAGGCAGCAACAATTCTGAAGGCCAATGATCCTCCTGTAGCACTTGCGAAGGTACATGTCCACAATATAATAATAATATAGATCTAGTCGTAAAGTCTAGTGTAGTGCCAGTATTTTTTACCAAAGTTTAGCTCAGCCAGGGCTCAGAAATTAGTTTTACTATTGAGGTGTAATATCATTGCTTTCAGTAATTTAAATCGTTGTAGTACACTTTAGAAGCAGCGCGTGTAACACTGTAAGGTAATGCTACATTTCAGGTCGATTGCACGGCGAATCAAGACGCTTGCCAAAAGCACGGCGTCAGTGGTTATCCGACTCTCAAGATCTTCAGAGGAGGAGAGTTATCTGGCGATTACCAAGGACCTCGGGAGGCTAGTGCGTAACTCTTCCTTACATTGCATGTTGATTGCAGTGTGTTACAGCTTGCTTAGCATCATACCCAGTAATCAACTGATAACTATAACTAAACCCTACTCTGCAATTCCATTGCAACTAGTTTAGGAGCAATTAAAATTGTGACCTTTTACATGCTATAGAGGTCATTGATGCAAATGATGTGATGTATATATATGTATCGTCGTCTTTTCCTACAGATGGTATTGTGAAGCACATGCGTGGGCAGGTCGGAGCAGCGTCAAAAGAAGTGAAGAGTGTTGAAGAGATGGAAAAATTCTTGGAGAACTCTGTAGCTGGAATCATCGGTAAACAACAATAGTAACAGACGTTCGACCAGGAAGTTAGTTTGTTGTTTCTGTCGCTGATCGAGCTTCTGGTCCTAGAAGCCCTCAAAGTTAAATCAATGAAATCATGCTCAGTAGTGCTGGTCTCTACATCCTGTTCTTTTAAGTCTAAGCACAATAGTAACTTGGCAGTTGCAAATGTATAAGCTGTACATTTGATTCATTATGTTGTTAGGAAGCTTGATGGTTGTTTGTTTATTTGTTATATTTGGTGGCATCAGGGTGTAAACAAAAAAAAAGATTCAAACCTTGTGAACTGTTATTTCCACATAATCGTAAGTGATGCTGATAGGGTCTATGTCCCCCAGGGTACTGCCGGAACGTACCCTGGTAACTATCTAGCTGATATGGTTAGGGTTAGTGTTAGGGTTAGAGTTAGGGTTAGGGAGTAGGCGTAGGCGACTCCCTAGACTCGTTAGTCGAGTAGGCGAGGTACGGTCCGGCATATTAGATAGTAGTATTTAGTACCAGGGTACGTTCTGGTATACCGGACCGTACCCAGGATACGTTCCGGCAGTACCCTGGGGGACATAGACCCTATCAGCGTAAGTGATGTGATTTTTCCCATTTACAAGTGCCTATAGAATAGAGAGAGAAAATCCAATACTGTGATATGAAGATAATTGTGATATATATTTTGTACTTTCTAAGCTTGTGATCTCTGGCTGTAGGTTTCTTCGATTCGGAAACGGATTTGTACAAAATTTTCAAAAAAACTGCTGACTCATTCAGGGAAGAATACCGGTTTGCACACACATTTGACAGTGCTGTCGGGGAAAAGTATGGACATAAAAAGTAAGTAGTGGTGATATGCTTTGCTGCAAAACGTAAGCTGCAATCACATAAGCATGCATTGTGAAGGTCTACAAGTGATATGCGCACGAGACCAATTCTTAACACCTGCGGAAAGTGTTGCAATGACAATTTTAAAATTGCAAGGCTTTGGCAGATCGGTCTTCCGAAATATTGAGAGTTAATAACATGGTATCTTACATATATGTGTATTATGATATCGATCGGGAAATGGCATGGGAAATGGTCTGCATTGGTTGCCGGTCTAGGAGCTGTTAAAAAAGACCAGGGTTTGCAGAATGCGTATAGATTGGAAATAGTTTTGCAGTCTGGTGAGTTCTGAGCATACATTTTCTCGTACGGTTTAGCTGGTTAAATTTCCCACAAGAGGGTGCTGAGGTATTATTATCAGCAACCAGTAAAATGTAATCATAATGTTTATGTATCAAAGATTTTGTGGTGCTGTAATTATTGAGAAAATACATTTAACAGGAAATTTAATAGTGATCTAGAGATTATGCTCAAATTTCATCGTAAATACTGAATGTTTTAAGCACACCATAGACTTTGTTGTAGATATTTTGACAGGTATATATTGGCAGTGAGCTGATACAATCTCGAGTTTCAATTGTTGAGTGAATTCCGTAAATGTTTCGTTGTGAAACTCGGGCTGTTCTCTGAAATTGCGAGAGATGTGTGTACCGATGATGTTACGAAAAATCTTAGTAATATGCCGTGATAAAATAATGATCACAACCTTTCGCTGAGGTATACGAACATCTATCTTGCAAGTCACTTTACATGCATTATTATTAATGTTAGACTGCATTGCGTACGTGGCATCTAATGGGTGCCATGTTCATCCTTGTTTTAAGGTAAAGGTTTTGTAATGTATGTATTGTTACTCAACCAGATTTTAAACGATTATTTATACTAATATGGCTATTATGTGCTGTTATTGTTTATTCATAAGTGATTTTTCCCATTCGTGTAGCAATGTCGTCTTGTTCCGACCAAAGCGGCTCACAAACAAGTTTGAGCCGGATTCCGTGGTATATGATGGAGATGACACTGTGTCCAGCGTCAAGCAGTTCATATCTGATAAACTGTAAGTGATTTACGCGTTCTGTCGTCAGAAATTCCGAAAACTATTTCATCTTCCGACGATTAGAAGTATCCAAGCATGGTTCTGCATTACGAAAGAAAAAGAAAGATGCACATTTTACATTGTGGAACTCTTGTATCATCTTTCCGCAAAACTTTAGGGATATGCGAAACCGTGTTAGGCTAGGCCTAATGTCATTAATTGCAGTGGCGTTCGGCATAAATTGCATTTCCACAGTCGAGTTGCCCCTCAATTAGAGCACCCTTTCATAATTGTTGGTAAATGGTGTGGAAAAGAATTGAGTGAATAAAAGTAATTCCGTGGGCGGGATAATGACGGGGGATGTTCCGGCGTGGTTGGCACATGTTTGATGTGATTCGATGGTCCTGCGCAGACATGGCCTGGCCGGCCACAGGACGCGAGACAGCGAGAAGGATTTCAAGAAACCCCTCGTCGTGGTTTACTACAACGTGGACTACGTCAGAAACCAGAAAGGTACTAGGCCGGTGTTGCTGCTAGTGGCGGCTATGTCTGTTTTCACTTACTAACAGGGATCATGGAGATCGGTAAGGGGAAAAGTATGAGGATATAATCGTGGAAGGTAGACAGATGGCAATGAGAGATGGTGGGAGGGCTGGTGTTGGTGATAATGCTGGGATCCCTGACGATGCACCTCCGATAATTTTGACAATTTTTTGAGAATTTTGAAAAAGAAACAAGACCTAGAAGTACGAGTTTATAGCATTTCATTTAGACCATGGATGATTTCCTTTGTGGTATATAAGGCCACCATTTTTTATTTTGTTGGTTTACAGAATTTTTGTTGTTGTTGACTCGTAGGTAGGGTAAAAAAAAAATAATAATAATTGGTTGTTTTGTCAGATCAAACAAGTCAAAATACAGTGATACTGTTATACATGATATTAAAGTATTTTAAGAAAACTAAATGAAAACAAAACTCAACTTGTAATTATTTTTACTTTTATTATAAACTGTTTGTTTATGAAATGTTTTTGTTTTTTACATTTAAATTTTTTTTATTCATATTTCTTAGAGAAAAGGTCTGCGGGAATAAAAAAATACAGATTTTCAATTTTTTTTTATTTTTTTTTTTATTGAAAATTCGGGTCGGCAGATCTGTAAACCAACAAAATAAAAAATTCTCGCCTAAGGTGGAATTAGCAATGTCGTCATGAACATTCATACTTTGAATAATCTCCTATTATTCTTAAACACCATAGATGAATGCGGATGCAAACATGACCATATATAAGAGCTGTATGTGGGTTGTAGGGTTACACTAGCACTTGGGTTGAAGTGTTATATTCTGGTTGTTACCACTAAGTGTCACGCCAGAGTACAGTCGTTATAGCACAATACGGATGATGATTATTATACATCAGGGACGTGAATCTGAAAATGCTGATGAGATCTGATGTTCTGACGTTTGTGCTAATGGTTATTTGCGGTCTCCATACTCAATAGGAAGTCAGATTGGCCGTTTTCACTCCCTTTTCACATTGTGCCAAAAATTGTCATGTTAGGAGTGTCCTGTCATACGTAGCAGTCCAGTATTTAATTTTGTGTATTTCTTTTTAATTCAGGTTCGAACTACTGGAGGAATAGGTGTGTATCAATTTGTGTTATGATTGCATAGTTAGTTTGTAGTCTTCAGCTGGGTGTCTAGAAAACGAAGACCTAAGACCTAACCCTAACCCTAACCTACCCCGCCCCCTAAGGGTAGGTCTTCGTTTTCTAGACACCCGTCTTCAGCTGCTTCTTGCATAAATCATGTATTAGGGTTCATGTATATAAGGAATGTCTAGCAATTATAAATTTGTTTTGTTAACCTGATGCACATTGCGATATCTACGTTACTACCTTGTCATGGCAGCAACTTTTAACTAGTAGATCTGTGTCAGATCCTAAATTACAATATTGCAACCCTAGCATGCAGATGTGCAAAGAACACTGCATAGTAAGCTGCCTCTTTTACAGGGTAATGAAAGTGGCACAGAAGTTTGAAGGAGAGACTATATATTTTGCCATCTCAAGTTCTGATGACTTCATGAATGAACTGGAAGAGTTTGGCCTTAAGTACAAGGAGAAGCCGGTTGCTGCAGCACGCAATGTCAGGGGCGAGAAGTTTGCTATGACAGAAGAGTTTAGGTAAGTCTCCCCATTGCAGGTTACAGTCTTCTAAGTACTCGCTGCATTTTGCCATCTTGCAATGTTCTTACAATTTTTAGACGATGTGTGTACGTGCTTGCGTGCACGTGTGTCTGTGCATGTGTGAATGAGTGTATGATTTGTGTCATTGTTATTTGTGCAAATCCAAATGAAATTCTCACAGCTATACACGTTCGTAATCTGCTGGCATTTAAAATTGTTGAGCGTGTACTAGTGCGTCGTTGTTATGTCGTTATATTTCAGTATGGATACCCTTGAGGCATTCGTTCAGGATTTGTTGGCAAACAAGCTAACTCCCTACCTTAAGTCTGAATCTATACCAGCTGATAATGATGAGCCTGTCAAGGTAAACGTGACTCACTTGAAATCTTCCATCTCACGAGCAGGTTATCGTGACATCACCTTCCCGCATCACATTCTTTCATTATTTCAGTTCTTACATTTGTCGTTAATTACGGTGATGTGCTGCATAGCACATGCTTTGGTAAATTTTCAACTACTACAACGCTGTCGTCCTTTCAGGTCGTCGTTGCGAAACAATTCGACGAGATTGTCAACGACGAGAGTAAAGATGTTCTTATTGAGTTTTACGCCCCCTGGTGTGGACACTGCAAGCAGCTTACGCCAAAATACGAAGAATTGGCAACGAAGGTATGTGACTGCTGGCCAAGTGTCGAGATAAGATTCTGTTGTTGCACTTGTGGTTTTGTAGAAGTGAATTCAGAATGCAGATAGAGTGCATTCTTGCCGCTTACGAAGAATGGTCGTGAGAGATGTGCTGATGGCATTACAAAGGAAAGCTTAGTAATGTGCAGTGATAAAATAATGATCACAACTTATTTCGCTTAGGTACATATATCTCTCGCATGGCCATCCCGCCAGGTTTATGTGGATAATGATAGTACACGGGAAAGAGGAGACCAGAATTTTCTAACTTGACCTCATTCTCTGTTTGTCTTTTGAAACAATTTTGCTATTAATTATTCATGTAAGTTACTTAGTAACTCGTAATTCAGTGACTGTGTATGTAGTCAATTGCCACTGTATTCAGATTTGTATTCAGTATCCGTCTGGCATTTTGCAGCTAAAAGATGAAACAGATATTGTCATCGCCAAGATGGATGCAACAGCCAATGACGTGCCTGCCCCATATGATGTCCGTGGGTACGTGCGACACTCTGCGTGATCGATTTACAAATCGTTCCAGCCGGCTCAATTTTGCTGCACGAAAATTACTTCATTAAATTTTTCTGAGCAGAAACCAGCGTGAGATTCCCCATGAGAACAAGATTCGCTCACGCTCAACTAATTCTGCATTTCCAGCTTCCCCACGATCTACTGGGCGCCGAAGGGCCAGAAGCAGAAGCCGCAGAAGTACGAGAGCGGTCGTGAGGTGGAGGATTTCCTGCCATACATTGCGCAGCACAGCACCAACCAGCTGAAAGGATGGGATCGCAAGGGCAAGAAGATGTCGAAAGAAGAATTGTAATCGCATCGTCTTACGAACCATCTTTGCTGGCGTATTATTCCCCTGGAAAACTCCGCTGTCATTCGGTGACCGTGACGCATCTGTAACGAATCTGAATGCATGTTTACGATGATAAACGTTACAGATACCGGGAAATTTCCTTTAGGAGGCAATGTCATTTCTAAAAAAGATGATCGTGGTATAAAAAACGAACAAAACCTGGTGATATTTTGCTTGGGATGGAAGTTATTAACTGTCCACTGGGTTTCAGAAAATCGGAAATTGACTGGAATTTATGGAAAAACTATTTTTTACAACCAAGGTACTTTACTGCCTCAATGAGAATAACAGTATAACACCGGCATTAACAGCAATTTGTGGGTGGTGGTATTGTAGTATCAGATGCATGTGCTTTCCACGGCTCCTAATTGCTCTTGTGGCCTTCCTATGGGTACTCGTAAACGATTCCCCAGTGGCCGTGTACCAAGTTTTATTCCCATTACGACGTTGTGATCGCACGTGGCGCTAGCGCCGTTTTATACGCTCTCGAATTTTGTACGTGTCGGGCCGTCGCGCCCGAGTGTGTCCCCCCCGTGTTTATCGTTATTGCGATTGTCGGCGTGTTAAACACAAGTACGTTCTCTAGCCAGCCCTCTGAGCGCCTGCCCCATCTGTCGTGATTTGCTGAGCGGTCCTAATCTCGTTTACACCTGCGTGCAGCGGGACACGTTTTTGCTGTCACCGATCGCCACTGCCGCCGCAGGAGTTATGTCATTTCGGGGAAAAAAAAAACAATTTGCAGGGATCGTACCCTCGTCATGCAGCTAGGCCCGTCTGTAATCCCTTTCTTCGTTGACCGTTAGGAAATGGGCATAGAATCCATCCTAGCATGTTGCCGTTCACGTGACGCACAGTCTTGCATTGTATGCATGTATCCGTTAGCTACCCGGCAGTTTGCAGAAAGGTTCCTCTTTATAATTTCGTCCACTTGCTCGTAACAGTTGATTGTAACGGTGATTGTCGTTTTCAAAGTTATATTTTCGTGAAGTAACCGAGCGAGGTCCATTCTAGTTTTTGTATAGATGTCCGTTGTTGTACTGACGTAGTTGTTAATTCAGTTTCAATCTACAACTGCGGTATTGTCATCTTTTGCTACGGCGTTTCATGTCTGGTGAAAGTATCAGTAAACTACTTTGTGGACTACTACGTTGGTGTGTTTATCGCCAGATGTGCAGGTTTAATGTCTGCGTGCGAGTGGACACGATTTGAAGCCTTGCAGCATAGATTCTGACAGGTGGTAGTATGTGACGGGGATTGTTGGTTTATCTGCATGCATGTTGGACTGGTGAATAGGTGGCACACTAGGTTTGGGAGCTGCCTCGCTGGATGCAATAAAGGTCACTGTAAACCCCTCTAAGTTTGTACTTAATTTTGTTACTTTGTTTGTTAATAGCAAAATGACTTTTATAAAGACAATAGTTAGACAACAAAATAGTTCACACCTACAGGGTTTTTAATAAATTTAAATCTGTTCATATTCTACAGACATTGTATACAGTATGCCAACCAATGCCATACAAAGGGAAGGTAATCGAGTTTTATCTGAAGTGGACACCTGCATCACGCTTACACCTGTGTCGTGCTTACAATGCATCGCGTTGCCTTTGCACCGCATTTCCGACAATCGCCTACTTGATTTTCTCAAAAAAGGTTCGTCTAGTTATATCAGCTCGGTAGACAGCATCGATACAGCTCGGACGACGCCTCGATGTCGTGGTTGGACAGGCACGCCAAATTGATGGTGACGCGGGATTTGGCGGCGTGACAGTTCTTGCAGTGCACCCGACGAACCCTTCCGCAGCGGAATGCTGTGAGAGATGACAGACGCTCTCAGGCCACTAAGCTTTTGCCTTCTCCTTCTCTTTTTCCTTTTTCTCGGCCTGCGCCTCCGCCTCTTCCTTCTCGTATTCGTCGATCAGCTTCTGAACCTCCGCACCGGACAGTATCGTGATCACGCATTTGTCGTTGACCCTCGTCAGAGTAGCGAGCTCAACTGCAAGACGAGAAAAATATCACAACCGTTCCGTGATGACGCGCCGCGCCGCATTAAGCCGGTCAGTATGACGGGGAGAAATATGTACGACGGGCAGATATGAATCGCTGTCAATGTGCCCAATGTTTACCCAGGGTGAAAAACTGATAATTGGAGGCACTGGTCTCCAAGTGAATGACTCGGATGTGGGGACGTTTTAATAGGGGGGGGGGGATGGGTGCAATTTTTCCGGTGATGTGCTTCTAACGGTACCATTTTTCTTAAAAATTATATTTCTTTACTCGTTTCCGATACACGATGCCGTCTCTAGTATTCGTTCGAACAATGTCCCGCAGGTCGATTTTCAAGTTATCAGCGCGCGCCTCTTTGAGACCGCCCCGATCTTCCTTATTTTAAGATTATCATATTTTATTACGCGATTGCCTGATTGGTCCAGCATGACCTACAATCCAACACAAACAACTACACTGGGACGTTTTTGTGTACTTCGCTGGACTAGCAGCGGCCGGCGTAAACCCTCCTCGTACCGAGCGGGAGTGTGGGAGTATGATGCGGCGATAGCCGGGGGCGAAATTACACCTTAGGCCTGCCGCGCTCAGGCAGCGCCCGCGTGCCCGTGAGGCCATGCCAGTGCCTAGGGGGGTCTGGGGGCATTTGCCCCCAAAAGACTTTGTGAAATAGTTTTTAAGCCATTTTCCATGCCAATCGTGCAGGCACTCTCACGCGGCTTCCTTTCCCCCTTTGGGCCATATTCTCATGTCTTGATGCACACTCAACCCTCACCGACTCAATCCTACAAGTTCATTGGATTTGCAAACACCTTCTAGACGTTTCACCGCGACGCGTACACTCCCGCTCTAGCGTTTAATATAAGTAATAAATACACGTATTTAACAGATCAGGGCCTAAGAATTGCAAATTTCTCCACAACTCTTTTCACGTGTTTTTGTATTGTCCTGCAACCATACTTTCTTCGGCTATCCCTTTTTTTTTCTCCTTCTTTTCTTTCGCAATCTCAGGCGCGGCCGACATATTTGTATACAGGCCATCCCCCCCTCCCTTCAAACAAGCGGCGCGCGCGTGACTGCCATCCCCCAGTCCCCTCCGGGCTTCTCTACGCCCCCCTGGACTCTTCAGGTCCTTTCCGTGACTCGACTCTCTTTTACGCTCTATTTACTTTGTTAAATTCTACCTCCACTTCCATTTCTCATCTATCGAACTAACACCTCTGCTAGTCCAAGGGTCCGGTATTAGCTAGAGGCCAATAACAAAATAATCAGCTTCTGGTAACACTTTTTTAATCTTTCCTGTGGCTCGCGGCAGCCTAACAAACGAGTGCATTTTTTACGGCTTGGGGCTCCAGAGCTACTTTCTTCTATCTTCAGCCCATGCATCTATTGTCCTCCGTAAAATTTCTCTCCATAACTCCTTGACTCTCGCACTGCCCATCTCCCCTCCCTCTTGCACCTCCTTCTTTCTTCATTCCACGCATCCTCCCTCCCTTTAGTACCTCTCCCCCTCTTCTATCGCACCAGTATCTCGCACTACCATACGCCATGTGCTTCTATGCGCCATCCTTTTCAACATCGCCTTCATCTTTCTTCTCTCTATCACTCATTCTTTCTTTCTATCTTCACTTCTCACCCCCCCCCTTCTCGCTTGACTAATAGAATTACCACACTCCCTTCACTTCTCCCTCTTACTCTCCAATTCTCGATTTCTCCACCAGTTCCAGATCAATCCTGCCACATCACCACCAGCCTTCTCATCCACCCATCAGTCACCAGTGTAACATGGACAAAGACACGGCGCAAATCCAAGACATCATAATTTCCATGTAATTGATTGATATGGTTATTTTTTTAGATCCTCCCCCCTCCCCCTCCCTCCTCCCTGGATCCCCTCCTAGTTTTCTTTTTTTTACTTCATTTTCCTTCATCTTTCAACTTTCTTTTTACATCGACTGAGCAAGTTCAGAACTTCAGAGCGTGTTTTTAGTTACTTTGAGTATGTTAAAAAAAACTTGTACTGGAATCTCTAGGAATGCCGAGAGCTTCTGGGCAAGGTTTTACTTTAGTTTTTCTCCTCCCCAGTCCACGGTACCCCCATGCATAGATCAATGCTGCCGCACATCCGCAAAGTTACAAGTGCCTAGAATCTAGAATATACAGTTTACATTGCTTCTAGATATCTAACTGAATAAAAATAGTCCACTTTCTACGTTAAGAAAAGTGACGAATTCAGTTAACAGCTTTGATTACGTGCGTGTCAGGTGTCACTGGTCGTGCCCTCACTCCCTACGATAACCCCTGCGATATAAAAACTTATTGTTATGCGGTCATAAAAACACTGGGCTGCACTACATGTATGCCGGCGATGTAGCAATCGATTTCTTAGACTGTCGCGAGTTTTTGTTCGTGTGGCGAATCATGCGTTGATGCGTTGATGCGTTGATGCGTTGAGTGTGTGGCGATTATCTAGTCGCCCGGCCGGACCAGCTGACACGAGCAAGCAGTCGCCCGGTCGATTTTCTAATCGCCACTGGCGACTGGGCGACCGCTAGTTTCTTACGCTGTTTACCCGATACAGGGTCGAGTGTCTTTACAAACCATGGCACATCTTATGGAATACCCACTCCAGACAAAGTGTACACCAGCCGATTTCCACGAAGGGGGCCAGGTGCCGATAGACTGTGCGGAACACCGCTTGACTTGACAAACTCCAGATCCGGACTCGAAGACGACGACGATGACTAAGCTGTGTCATTTTAACATTCTAGCTTTTAAAATGGAATAGCGAGTGGATCTTGTATTGCACTTACTTTTCTCGTTAGTTAGCTTCGTGATGTCCAGGGATTTGCTGAGAACTTTGACGGCTAGCTTCAGACCTGTTTGAAGCTTCATCTCTCCCGCCTTGTATTCCTGCTTCAGCATCGATACCGCTGCCTGCAAAGCAAGAATCGGTCTGCGCGTCAGAACACGGATACAAACAGTGTCTACAGATTTCGACGCGTTATCTTTCACATTTGTAAGCGGATTCGTCCGAGAAGTAACTTACAGCACAGTTGTTGCCGATACAGGTCGCCTTCCAACCTCCATAGTTGCCACTCGGGTCACTCTGGTAGAGCTGGAATCCATAGTGCTTATCCCACCCCATGTACAGAATGGAGACGCCGAACGGCCGCAAGCCTAAGACAAATGAACAAACTCGTGGGTCTACCCTTTTGCAAATTATTTTCGTTCATTATATTCTAAGATCTATAAGCAATTTTTGAACTTGCTAATGATATTCGTCGATGAATCTTATTACTATTATTCTAGTCGACCCAGGGTGAATTCTGAAATGTTACTCGAATAAAAAAAATACAAAGATTAACTTAATAGGTATACAAAATAAGGAGATATGTTATACCTCCATATTGTGTGTAGGCCTGTTTTATGTCACATAGCCAGCTAACCAACTGTTCACATGGAATGGGCTCCTGATACTGAAGATTGTACCTACAAATGTACCGTCAATGAATTGTCATAATAGGTAGATGAAGTGATAAGAGATAGAATAGAAGATGATGAGTAGAATAAGTAGTATTGTCCACCTTTTAATTACAATATTAGCAATTATATCTGTACATCTTACATTTATTTAAATGAACAAGTGCATTTCTAAAACAAGTGCCGCAGAGCGACAGCGCTCAACTGACGTGTACTGTAGCCGGGTATTCTTCTGATAAACTCACTGGCAACCGAATCAAGTGCGCCCTCCCGCCACCGCGTTGATAGGCTTTGCTATACCGGTAGTACAGTAATAAAGATATAGCTGTGTAACTTTAATGACTTCGCTATATTAACCAATAACGTCATCATGGATATGCGTCGAGTGCGAGCATAGTGGTGGTGGTGGGGGGAGGGGAGGGTGTAAGGGGGCTCTAATAGCAAAAGCAGTTCAGTCCTTTGTTAACAGTCAACAAATCCATGTTTAACCCTCCTCTTGAGGGTCAAAAGGTTATCAGACAGGGGGGATGGTGCAATTTGGTGATGTGCATTCTAAGGTATTCTTAAAAATTATATTTTTTACTCGTTTCGATACACTGATGCGTAGTAATTCGGAACAAGTCCGCAAGTCGATTTCAAAGATCAGCGGCCTCTGAAGACCGCCCATTATTCCTATAAATTATCATATTTTATTACGCGATTGCTGATTGGTCAGCATGACCTAGAAAATCGAACACAACAAACATGGAGAGTTTGTGTACTTCGCATGGACTTTAGCAGGGGCGTAAATCCGTACCGAGGAGTGGGGGAGATGATCGGCGATAGCCGGGGGCGAAATTAACCTTGGCTGCCGCAGGCAGGCCCGCGTGCCGTGAGCATGCCAGTGCTAGGGGGGTCTGGGGGCATGCCCCCCAAAAGATTTTGAAATATTTAAGCCATTTTCCTGCAATCTGAGGCATACGGTGGGCCATATTCTCATGTCTGATGACACTCAACCCTAGACTCAACCCTACAAGTTAGGATTCAAAACACTTCATGACGTTTCAGAGAGCGTACACAGTTAGGTTACTATAGTAATAATACATGTATTAAAAGACAGGTAAGAATTGCAATTTCTCACAATTTCACGTGTTTTTGTATGTTTGCAACCATACTTTTCGGCTATTTTTTTTCTCCTTTCTTTTTTGAATCTCAGGGGGGATATTTGTACAGACCATCCCCCCCTCCTTCAAAAGCGGGGGGGGATGCATCCCCCCATCCCCTCCGGGATTTACGCCCCTGGACTTTAGGCTTCGGACTATTTTTAGTCTATATTTGATTAAATTTACCATTCATTTCATTCGAATAATGTAGAAGGTTAGTAGAGAATAACAAAATAATCAGTTTGGTAAATTTTTTATTTCCTGTGCGGCAGCCTAAAAACGAGCTATTTTAGGCTTGGCCAGAGCTACTTTTTCATAGCATGATTTTGTTAAAATTTTCATAATTTTGATGCACTGACTCTAATATCATTCATCAGCATTCAGTACTCAGCACCAGTATCAGACTACAGTGTTAAGAAATCTTCAACAAGTTACATTCTATCACATTTTTTTTATCTCATTTCACTTGACTAAGAAACCAATCACATTCTTATTCAATTTCATTCACACAGACAGACATGCACTACACAGTACACATAGTCAGGTAACATGACAAAGACAGGAAATCAAGAATTATAATCATGGTAATGATGGTATGGTTATTTTTAAGTTTCTTTTTTTTACTTCATTTCCTTCATCTTTCAACTTTCTTTTTACATCGACTGAGCAAGTTCAGAACTTCAGAG